AGCGTTATGTATAGCAGGGCTTCCGAGTCGCTGGTTCCCGTCACCTTGTGTGGGCGGATATCCCGCGCGATCGCGAACAAAACGCGTGCAGCTGGGAGCGGCGACGGCGCGTGAGTCATCCGGAGCCGAGCGCGCGCCCGTGTACCCGGGGCCCCGACACGAGGCTCAATAGAGGGGCGCTATATTTAGAGATGCAGCTTTCGCTCGATCGCTCGCGCAGGGAATGCGGCACGGGTTTCAGCGGGGAATCGGCATTTAAAAAAAGGACAGATCACCACGATGTTCTACAGAAAAAGTGGAAAGTTTGTCTGAAATCTGGGTCATATGTAGATTTCATCGTAATCCAATTTAAGTGCCCATAAAGCGTTTCACATTTATATTTACATATTTAGAAGTCGCTCTTCTCCAAAGCGACGAACAATTGAGGCAAATAGCACATTACAAACATACATGCTGTCAAGGGGCCGACTAGGCATAAATGCAGCTAGGCTGAGCTTCCAGTGAATGCCCAGGTAAAAGTGTAGGCAATACTGGAGCAGGATCTACACAGCAACTAACAAGCATGAATCTAATAAGATTATACAAGGACTGGCGGTGCGACCTGAAAACATTGGGGGAATGTAAAGAGGCGTCGCAAGGCATTTTATTAAGATTAATTCCAAAATAATAATAATAAATAATTACATTAGTGTGGATTTTAGACAATGACCCAGCATCTGTTTTCATTTATGACTCATAGTTCCCATGCAAACCATGTGTGGCTACAGTCTATAAATTTGTTTGCGGAGCCAGTAATCTCCAGCCACGAGGGCGTACGGCCAAGACCAGGCAATAAAATCACCTCCCTACCTTACGGAAAGGCAACACACCCACAGTTAAGAGTCAACCCATAAACAGTGCCGCTCATTTTCCAGCAGTCCACTGTGATCCCGTTTGGGTCGTGCAAGCGAGGCTTTTAACGATGTGTCGCTTTCAAAGGCCAGGCCATCGTTTTATAACACATTGCACTGCTCTTATTTACAGTTAAATTCCTCACCACCACCAGTCCGTCCAAAACAGTCCCAGTCCTTTGCTCAAAACAGACACAAGTGTCTCTATCTGGCTAATGCAATTCATAATAAGACCAGATATGAAAATTAACTGCATTAAATCGTGTAAATATGGAAGTATATAGCCTACTTCGTATTTCAGGTTGCGTGTAAATGACTATTTACACGCCTCTCTCTCTCTCCTCAACTACCGGTACTGCAAACCCGCAGGGCTGCAATTACGCCACTGACCGAGAGATGGTGCTACAAGCACGCACCGCTCTTTAAGTTGAGCGCCAGTTGTACCTGATCTCCTTAAAAAAATCTCAGGTCATCTATATTTTATGTACCTTCTATATTCCTTAAGAGTGCAAACTACAGACTGGCTGGATAATAGCATGGATTAATAATGGATGTATAATGTAATAATGACTGCAGGATTAGGACTCTAACCACCGCTGTAAAGGTAATTGTGCTGTTATCTGTAATATTAGAGTAGGGCGGCTGGACTGTTCAAGTTTCCACTGGTAATTGAGTCTATACACATTGAATCAACGATATAGTGGGTGGCAGCAAAGACTGTTTTCCATTAGATCCCTTTATTTGTAGCAGATTACTACTTTGTTAATATATACCGCCTGTGAATCGCGAGCAAACACAGTTTGCAAACATGTTTAAGACTAATTCTGCAGTGAAATTGTGTTTGGGTTTGACGGTTTTAGTGAGGATTTAAAATCATGTAAATGCGCATGGACTTTGTTCCTTACTAGCCCGATTCCCAGCAGGCTGACGTTACAGAGTTTGGATCGAAAGCGAGTATATCCTGTAAATGACATCAGGGTTTTCCAGCCGATAAACCCATGGGTGAACAACCCATATTGTCAAATCGAGAGCTTTGCGCTATTTATCAAACTGTTCAGGGCGATGGTGAAGCACAGCGTATCTTTTTTTTACCATGATCTGGACTCCCAGGAAACATCAGTCATAAATATACAGATTTTTCAAGAGAAAATCAACATAATGTATTGCAAAATTACTTATTTTCACAGACCAAACCAGAGGGCAGCCTGTCTATTAGAGGCAAACAAACGTGCTGACAAAAAACGTGGGTGGCATATCGTGCAAAGAGCGCGCGGAAAAGGGAGAGCTGGGCGCCACGTGCCTTTCTCACACTTACTCTCCTGTCAGACGTCACACATTCGACGCTTTTTTTGTTGCATAATGGGGGTTGGGAGATATCTGCATATTTTCGGTGGGGGCCACTGGATGCAATAGAGGACTTCATTTGTGTGTGTTTTTTTTATATCAGTTTAGGATTCACGAAAGACATTTATATTAATTACATAACATATATTTGATATAATATTAGTTATATCAAAATCATGAGTGTATAAGGCTTCATAATTAAGCTTTTATCCTGCAGCTGTGGTTGTTGTATTGAATGTAATGGAGACATTGACTGCAGGGCAGGCAGCCTAACAGAGGAAAGCTAGCTGTCCTTTTAAGTACAGAAATAGACTTAAGTGGAAATGCAAATCTAAGAGGTGCCGGGTTCACAGCTTAACATGTGATTTTTTTTTCTTTTTTTGCTTCGAAGAAAAATACCCGCCGTTGGGCTGCTTTCGTTCAGAACTATCGTTCGGCGCTGATAAATCTCTTTGGTGCTGGAAGGGTTACAAAGGGCTGTGAGATGCTGCACCGCACCGCTGCGGACTGCAAACCAGGCACGTTGTGGGCCTTTTAAAAGCAAAGTGCAACATCACGTTGGCCCCTCTTCCGAGCAGTTAATCAGAGAAGACGTGACACGAAAAGGCGCGACAAGGACAGTCATAACATCGGAGGTATGGGTGACGGGAATACGTGCCTTCGGGGCGCCGATTGACTGCCGGTCACCGGGACGTACGAAGGAGCCAGCGGACAGAAGGACGTGGCTGACATTTGCCAAAAGATCTTTCTCTTGTTGTTTTTATTTATTTGTTTTTAATATTCGCTGATTTCTACCACAGCTGGACTCTCTGTCATGTGATTAGCAGGATAACGGCCGGTCCCGTGTAAACACATAGCTAATACAGTATGTCTGATTGTGCTTCCCTCTATTACTCAGTGGGCTTACATACAGGTCATTTGGCTGTTTCCCTGTAAGGGAGCTCACTTCCATTGTGCAGAAGCATCTGAGCCCTTTGGTGCTCCAGGTGAACTCCACTGATACGGAGAATAAAGGAAATACCAGGAGTCTGTGATCAGTGTTAGGGAAGTTGCTCACAAAAGCAACACATTAAAGACAGGTGGAAAGTTCAGGTCCAGTTAGTAAAAATCCAGACCAAGGTTTTGTTTCAACCAACCAGTTGAGTAGAAAGAGGCACAGTCACAGAGTACTCAACTGTTTGGCTGAAACAAAACCTTGGTCTGGATTTGTACGTTCTGAACCTGAACTTTCCACCTCTGTCTTTAATGGATTACTTCTGAAACTTCTCCAACACTGTCTGTGATTATGTGAGTTCTGTAGGGGTGAGTTCCCAAAAGTCTGTCCTGCTCACAAATAATCCAAGGTAATCATGTTCACTAGCATGTTGCTGATCCTTTACAGAGGTCAGCAGGAAACACGAGGAAGTCCATCTGTGTTGTTTATTTCTCATAGTGAAACTTCTGTTGTGGGTGGTATGTGGATAGGCGGGTTGGGGTCCTGTGATTGGATGGTCGCCGGTTCGAATCCCAGAGTTGGCAGAGTGATTTTTGCAGAGACTTTGGAGCATCTGCTAAAAAAAATAAAATGTAAAAACAATTTATGTCCAAGGAAAACTACATATCTTAACGATACCTCAATAACAAAAAGTCTGTTAATCACACTGGTAATGAATTTATAAACCAAGTCCGTGTGGGGTGGCTTTAATTAGATACCTGTGTACAGTAAGCATTTCCTATTTTGTTCTTTCCGTTCCTGTAGTTTACTGTCAGTAATGTAGCAGTAATGTTTTGACTACGGGTTACTATTATCATGCTATGAACTGGAAATGATACAAACAGTGTATCTATGTGACTATTTCACTTGATGACTTTTATATGTAATTCTGGCAGATTATTTTCCCAAAGCATTTATGCAGAGGTAGTAATTTAATACATTGCATTTTTAAATAACAGAACAGCATGTTGGCTCCGTGGACAGCACTGTGATGTCATACTTCCGGGTGTTATTTTTCCTGGATGCACCCCCCCAGTCATCCTAAGACATGTGATTTAGGTGACTTGGTGCATATTAATTGTCCCTTCTGTGTGTGTGTGTGCCACATGACAGGCGTTCTGTCCAGGCTGTCCTCTGACGTACGCTTTCTGCTTCTTGTGATTGGCTACAGACCCTCCGTGGGCCTGCATTGGCTATGGAAGCTAGGTGGATGGATATTTATGATATTATGGGATAAAATGAACAAACTGGGGTAAAGATTGTTAGCCTGTCGTATGACGCACTGGCCATTCTAAATAATTAACTTCTTAAAAGGCTTCAATTTACTTAGGACAAAATCCCACTATCGTAAATCAGCATATACAATCGTCACTTTGTGCTCTCCAAGAAAAGTGAAACAAGATTTATAAAAAGAACATTTATACGTGCATTTCAGATTTGTGCACGAACCCTAAACTTAACCAAACAAATATTCAAGAGAATTGGTTAACGTTGTGTTCATTTGTGTCCTCCGTGAGTTTAATTTGATGTATTTTATCAGCAGATCATCATATTTAATGTGGCACAGTGTTCCGACCTGAGATTCACATGCTACACATGTGAGACATGCTAAGTGATTATAAGGCGTATTTGTGCAGCTTCCATTTACAGCTAATGACTTGTGGCGTGCCCTCCATGCCTGATAAGAGTAACATTATATTGCAGTGTGCCTTCCAGGGACATTACCCATTTCGACGTAAATAGTCAAATTATTTAATAAAGGACCGTAATCAAATCATACCATACCATGCAAATTATTGTAATTGTATTTATTTGAAAACAACAATCCGTTTTTTTCATCTGTACTGTAATTGAAACTGGATTTTACATATTTCATTATCCACCGAACATCACAGTTACCCTTTTTTTTGTTTAACGTTTTTCTTTTTTTTTTTCGTTTGTTTGTCTGTCTGTTTCTGTACAGTTGTTTGTGCTTTGATACCTTATATTTTAAAGACATGTTAATACACTTAAGTGAATACCAGGGACTAGTGACAGTATGTCCAAAGCGTAAATGACACTGATTATACACACGTACAAATACAAACACACACAAGAGCACTGGCTGAATACTCCAGTTCATTTAGAGTTGTGTTGAAAAAGAACCACTTTCAAAACCATCTGGATTTCAAATTACACTATTCCCAAAAAATCTAAATATCACATGACGGTACCCTTAGAATTTAGTAAACTCAAGGTGCATTGCCTGATGTTTATGTAATTGCTATTGTTAGAAAAAAGCCAGTGGACTGTCCATATGCCTGCCACCCCGTTCCATGTACAAATATGTCTGTTTTTTTTGCATTTGATTGATGGGTGTTGGATACTGTATTTACATTGGCTGGAATGTGTCCCGCACTACTCAACAAATCAAGTACTTCAAGCAACATGATTCACAGAAGATCCAAATACCTTTAATATTATACGACTACTTTGATTAGTCTTGAAGGAGAAAAAACAAAAACGATAAAAACGCACAAGTGCATATGTTGGTTCACTTAATGCTTAACAGGTCTATCTTTTCGTAAAAATCACAACTAGCAATTAGTTGTAGCCGATCTAGCAAACAGGAGATAAAATGTTACAAGCATTATAACAAACTGTCATATGTAGATTTCAATATAACGCATAAGTGCAGATATATACTGTGTATGTGTGTGTATATATACACATATCTACACACACACACTTGTACAAGTACTACTATATATAATATATATGTGTGTATACACATATATAACTAATATATAAAGCAGTATTACAGTATACATATTTGTTCTAATGAGCCAGTAGCAAATCCCATGCTGGACATAGAAAAGGCATCCACAACATTACGAAAAATGTACAATTTATGAAACATGGTACAATAAATAGAATAGAATTGCTGCTGTACACAAAAGCAATTTAATTTCACTCATATAAAAATATGTTTTAGTGCAACCTTACGTATATTGATACTTCACATCATTCAGACTCAGGTTTCCAAAAAAGAGGGGAATTACATTTATTACAAAGCAGATACACAAATGTGATATATTTACACGTCTTCCTGCTTAATATGCTTATAAGAATATAAGCAAAAAGTAAAGAAAAGGCACACACATCTGTACATTTAAAAGTACCAGACTGGACAAAAATAAGTCCATAAGCGATTTTGGTCAGGCTCACAGATAAGTTAACATTGTATCATTATATATGTACATGTACATGTGTATTACATATATGTGTGTATGTGTGTTTATACACACCCATTTCTGACACTTTAAATAAGAAGAAAACTGTTAAAATAGCAAACCAAGTTATAAAAGGCATGCTATACATATATTTAAACTACAGAATAAATTTGCTTGTTTAAAGACTTGTGTCTGTGCGCGTGTGTGTGCATGTCTGTGAATGCCTTTGAAATCCACCTGCTCTCCCGTCTGCCCTCGTTCACCTGTTATCCATGGCATCCCCTCCCGAATCCGCACCCCTGTCCATGCTCGACGGCGACTCCCTCTGGCCGTGTGCACCCAGCGGTCTCCCGTCGGCACTTTGGTTGCTGGGGGCCGAGTGCCCGGTGGCAGCGGTCTGCAGCACAGAGGCTCCGCCCAGCTCGGCACCCGAGTCCAGGGGCGTGGCGGAGGCCCCGGCCAGCGGCAGCCTGGCCTCTGAGCCGCAGTAGTGTGGGATCGCGACCTGCGCCCTTTCGGCTTGACCCGGGAGGTGGGGGCACAGGGGGTCGCCCGGCCTCTCGGCAGACTCCTCCGAGGCGATGCAGAGGGAGGCGATGGCCTTAGTGCAAGTCTGTATGCTCTCCTCCTGTCTCGAGTCCTTCTCTGCCGTGTCTGGGCCCTGCTCCCGGGCTTGCAGGGTGGCCGGACCGGGCGAGCGGGCCGACGGCTTCTCAGCCAGCCGCGGCGCATCCTCAGCCCCTTTTCCGGCGTCTTCCGCCGGTATGTGCAGGGACACCTCGCTGTGGCTGGAATCCTCGGACGTGCTCTTCTGCAGCGGTAGCCGCGTGGCGTGGGACAGGCCCGTGACCGAGGCGGGCACCGAGTGCACCATCTGGATGCCGCCGATGGGGATCATGGAGAAAGGCGTCCGTACCTGCTGCTGCGAGTGCAGCGGGAGGTGGCTGAAGAGGCCCTGGGGCATGCTGGGGCCCTCCTGGCCACCGGGGGCTTCGGCATGGAGGTGCGACGAGGAGCCCTTCCTCTGATCCTGAAAGAAGTGAGACGGGAGAGTGAGTCTTGCTTCAGGAGAGCAGCTGAGAATCACCGTCGGGTTCCGGAGATGGTTTTGTGAAAAATAATAAAATAACAATAATAATAACAATAAAAATGTCCGCCTGAATTCAACGTGCGTTTATTTCTCTTGCCTAATGTGTTTCATCTCTTAAATATTTGATTTAAAATTTTCTGGTTGGTTTACAGTGTTGTTGGTGAATTGTTGGAAAAACTGATAGGGGAAAAAAATCACCTTGCTAATATGAACTGGATTCCGAAACAATGCAGCCTGGTAGCAGAATAGTTAAACCGAGCTTTACTTTTACAACATTGTCTGCAATCTACCTGCATATTCTTTTTTTACTCATTTCTCAAAAAAAGCAATTTTTAGCTCCATATACTCGAATTAAAAGGCTGAAAGAGCCAACATGGAAATATAGTCAGTTCTGCCTGTGAAGTTTACTTTCATTTAACTGTCCTTGGGAAGCGAGTTTTAACATGCCTTTTAAAGTACAAAACAGCCCTTATTAAACATAACATCGAGTGCCAAGCCTGCATTATGGGCATTGTTCTTTATCTTTATATCCTCCTTTTCCAGGGACAGTGGCCAGAGGGTTTCGAAACATTTAATATACCCTTTCTACAGCAGTATATGAATGTAGCTTTTTTTCATCCTCCAAGGAATCCTAATTAGCCAGTATATAAATAGAAATGTCTTTTTCAGCAGTATTAGGTAAAGCAAATGGGTTTTTTTTCCAGCAGTAATATATGTTTTCACTAAGAAGGTGAGGATTTTTTTCTTCCTTTCCACTTTCCTATGTTGAGGGAACATTTTGAAATGGACTGGAGAGTTTGCTCAGATCAGAAGGTAGAAGAGCAATCCTTCCCAAAAATAATATTTATATCATTCCAGTTATTTGTTTTATTTAGGTCAGGCATTGACTAAAATATGTGATTATATATGAAGGGTGACCTTGTGAATTTTCCAATGATGCGAGTAGGAGTCTGGCTGGAAAAACTTCTGTCAAAAAGACTTACCGTTTCCATGTCAGCCATGGCTCTGTTTCTTTGTCCCATTTCAGACTGCAAGTACTGCCCTGGGACCCAGGGGGCGCTGTGGTGATGCGGGCCCCTCCGGGGGGATACAGGCCTGATCATGCCCCGATGCCGGCTTCTGGGGGACAGGTCTCGCCTACTCGCAATGTCCTTCCCTGGGGACAGTGGTCTCCCCAGAGAGATGGGCGAGAGGTGTCCTCTGGGGCAGAGATCCCTGCGTGGCGACAAGTCCCTCCGGAACATAATGTCCCTCTTGGGGGAGATGTGCCTCAGAGGGGAGGAGTCCCTCCGCAGGGACAGGCGCCCCCGTGGCGAGAGGTCCCTCCGGGGGGACAGGTACCGACGGGAAATGGGTGAGGATTCCCTGAGTGGGGAGGAGTCGCAGCCCGGGGAGGACATGCGCGATGGGGACAGCTCGAAAGACGAGGAGCTGTGTTCCGGTGACAGGCCCGGATCCTCTTCCATAGAGCTGGGCACGTCCAGCCGGTTCTTGTAGTCCTCGCCCAGCAGGAACTTTTGGTACTTTGCCATCTGGGCCTCGCCAGCTCTCTCGCTGGGCACCATCAGCTGCGTAATCTGAATGCTGGGCAGGGTGGCGAAATAGCTGAACAGGGGAGGCTTGGAGGATGGACCCAGGAAGTCGGAGGACGAGGTGGTGCCCTGTGAGGCCGCGACGGCGGTGACGGAGAGAGCGGGGGTCCCGTAGGGCTGGGGGCTTGTGCTTCTGGAACGGGTCTTTGGTGTGGAGTCGCCCTCGTATTCGTCATCCTCATCGTCGTCCTCGTCAATCTCGTCGCCGTCTTCCTCCGCCCCATCCGAATCGTCTGCGTCGGAGAACTGGTGCTCTGCGGTGAGATCAGAGATGCTGGCCTTCCTGGACTCCCTGTGGCTGTCCTCGGCATTGTCTAGAACGAAGCAATTTCACTTGAAAATAAGAACCTAAACGTTGTAAACGCAACTGTGGCATATCGCAATACAAATAAAGCGCATTTAGTGTCGTCTTACTCAGGAAATGAGAAGCACTAAACACAATAACAGTCTTCAGTTCACATTTTTACAGATCTTTTACGGCAATCCTATTTTTTTTTTCAGTTGGATAAAAATGGGCCTTAGATTTCACTTATGTCTTCTCCAAAATAACAGGCAGTGCTTTATTGACTATATCTAATTTGGTTATATTATGGAAAGCTGGCAGCAAAGTCGTTCCTGTTTTTTGCCACGCTAATTGTTCCTTGAGAACCACAGCAGCGACCGGCTGAGACCAGTATTTACTCCACCCCGACTGATGGTAAGGGCTGATTCATACCGGCTTCCTCGGCCTCCCCGTCGTCCACGGATGTCACCGACACCCCGAGTTCCAGGCACTTCTTCATGTGGGCCTTCGACTTCATGTGCTTCGTCAAATTTCCTGTCAACCGAATGACAAAAAGCGGCCTCAAAGACGGCTTTCAAAATGCGACAGCTTTTATTTGGTTAATTTGACATGCTTTTCATCCAAAGGAATTGAAAATAGCTTTTGATTTTATGAATTTATAAAAATTTAAGCACTTTACTTAAGAGTACAGCAGCTGATACTGAACCTTCAGAAACTTGAATCTACACCCTTTCTGTTGTAGTTGATAACAACCACTTTACCTAACAAACATATCATTTGGATCAATTAATTCCTGTAGGAAGTCGCTGCAGTTACAAGCTTGTTTTACCTGAATGCTCTCACAATATCATCATCACACCTCCTCCTCAAACTTCTTCGGTTCACTGGACGTACCTTTAGTCTTAAAGGCGAAGTTGCAGAACTTGCAGACGTACGGCCGGACGTCGGTGTGAGTGCGGATGTGCTTCTTCAGCATGCTGGGCTTCTTGCAGCGGATGCCACATTCCTCGCAGATATACTTCCCCCTGCCTCGGCCCCTCACGTACACGTAGTCCTCGTTGGACTTGTACCTGGAAAGAAAACAAGGCCTAGCTCATTAAGGGTGTACAGTGGATAGCTGGACGAATCAACGGGAGAAAATATGTAATAAATTAGACGGGCTGCATTCCTTTAGGTGAACATGGGCAATGAACTTTTAATGGCTTGAAAAAAATAATTTGCCTGCCAAGTTCAACTCTGCATTTTCACAGATGTATCCACTTGTGGCCATATTTATTTATTTTACCATGCACAGAATAGCACCTACTATAAGGCTGTAATTATTTCATTTGGGTGAAAGTCTGACACAGTTGCCAAGGCATGCTGTAAAGTTCACCTCTTGCAAGCTTAAAAACAGAATGAGTATCATTTCATTATGTCATTTCAGGATGGAAAACAGTTTCCAAGAGCTAAACTGATCTTCATCATCAAGATGTCAGCAGGAAACTGGGTCATGGACTGTGTTTGTGTGAAGTGTGAAGTATGTTGTTGTGGAAATACAGGGATTATGCAGAGAGGAATGCCCATGTCGCAACAGAATCTCCCACAGATTACATAATCAAGCATTGCTCCATTTCCACCAGGAACCATATACTATAACCCTTTATTTACTTTAAACAAATATCAGCCAAAAAAACTGAAATCCAAATACTGTTAGCCTTAACACTAAGCCTGTAATTAAGCGACTGGAGTTGTCACCCAACTTGACACATACCCTCCTTCAAAAATCTTGATGCGGGTGGGCTCTGGCTGTTTTGATGAAACATCCTTCTCTCCATCATCTTTAACTTTGTCCCTAGATCCAGTCCCTTTCATCTTCTTCTCATATTTGCTCACATCCAGCTGCATGAGCTCTGGCTTTATCTGAAACGATTACATGTATAAAATGTGGTCATGTTCTATACAACTATTTACAATACTCGTTTGTATTTTCACTACACATGACCTTCTATGTAAAAATATGTGATGGACAATCAATGGCATTTTTACCTGTTCAAATCTCTGTTTCCATGAAAGTGAGGACACAAGCTTGCCTGTCCCCGGGCGATACATAGGAGCCATGGTGTAGGTTTCCGTGTTCTTCCTCTGCTTCGAGCGAAGTAGTGCTAGAGTTGCCTTGGTGCTCAAACTTGGCGGGTTTGGATTATAAGAGCTAACACACCAGGAACCATAGACAGAGGTAAGAGGGGTTGTCTGTGCAAAATTTGGCTTGGTGTAGTTCAGGAAGCACCAGCTGACACTGGTGGTCGTTCGGAGACTTGGGAACTGAAAGAACTGCTGAACGTCAGCGAGGTCAGTGAGCAGGAGAGAGCTTCCCACCACACCCCCTCCGTGATTGGCAGCAAGCTGCACCAACATGTTCACTGGCATCTTGCCTCCTGCTGCAAGCTTAATCTCATCTTGAGTGTCACTGGCAGAGAGCATTGACTGTGGGCTAGAACCTGATTCTGCAGTGGATTCATCCACATCCAGCTCTTCTGGGGACTCTCTACCATCTGGATTGTCCATTGTTATCTGCAGAGGTGGAGTGAAACTGTCCTTCGGAGGGACTTTGGGTATGTGAGGCACGGTTGGATTCAAAGGTGACTTAGAGGAAGAAAATTCTAATGGAGGTGACACCATCTCCTCTTGGTAGTCGAGTGAGCCATCATTCTTTGAAAAGTCTGGTTTTAGTGACTTAGCACTGTCCTTTGACACACTCGAATTGCTTAGTTCAACAGCACTGAGCTCCTTCACAATCTGACCATACATAGTTTCATCTTTAACCCGTTTTTGCTGCTTGGTCTCAATGAAGAGCTCCAGACTGCTTGCTGGAGAAAGCATGCGTTTACTTCCACCAATATTTGAAGAAGCATCCGTGGTTGAAATAGTTCCAGAGGTCAAAGATAGAGGAATCCCTGTGTTCAATCTCCCTGGCAGGGGCTCAGGAACTTTCCAGAGGGGATAACGTAAAAGTTCTCCAGGATGACCCAATATGTTAGATAAATTCAATCCACCTCCATGCTTTGGGTTGGTAATTGCGCTGTCTGCACAAATGACCCTTGTGGAACTTGAACTTTGGCCATGTGTAGCCAAGATCTGTGAAACACTTGTGTACATAACACTACCATAGGATGGCACGTGAGTCTGGATCCTAACAGGAACTAACATACCAGGAAGTGAGGGCTGCAGTCCAGCAGGCTGAGTGGCAAAAACTGGTTGAACTTGTTGCAAAAGCACCGTACTTGTGGAAAATGTTTTTGATGCAAAATGGCTAAGATGCTGCGGGTCAGCTCGTGAGGGGTACTGATAGTTCTGGCTACTCGTACCATCAGATTTTGCATCAGTTTGCTCCTGAATGAGCTGCAGTTGAAGAGGTTGATGTGGTTTTTGGTGACCCGGCTGCAGACTGGGCTGCCTGATATGTAGCTTCTGCAGTTGATGTGTCTGAAAAGCGAGGTGCTGTTTGTAACGCTGTGATGACTCGGGATTCCAGAAGAATTCTGGTTGAAATGGCAGAAAGGGAGGCTGTGCTATGCTACTATGATGAGAGGAGTACAGCATAACTTCATGGCTCGGGAGTTCAGGACGTTCACTTTCTGAGCCCTGTTGAGATGTTTTCTGGCTGACCAAGTAGCCCTCTTGCTGACTGTCCTCACTGGTGCTGTGTTGCAATGGATTACGATATGGACCTAGTATTGGCTGCACACCCCTCTTTGACCGTGCTACTTCAGTAGCTGCCGCGGTGGCACCACCAACCAATGATGAAGTCGGACTGTGCCACGCAGAAATATGGGGGCTACCTTGCACATTCTCGGAGTGTTCATGCTTAACACTCATTTCGAGACCTTGCTCCTGCACCACAGTTTCAGGGTAGACACTCAGGGATGCCTGCCGCACCAAGTAGCCCCGTTTCCGCTCCTTCATAGCAGAAGCACTTGTGTAAACTTCCCCTTGTCTGGATGACGTGGAAAGGCTGCCGTAGTCGAATGACTTGCTACGTATTTCAGGGATCTCTGTTGGCAAGGCACAAGGTGCCTGTTCTGAGGAAGAGCGCCGCATCTCCCTCTGCTGGTGATGACTTGGTATGGAAAGAGAGTGTCCACTTCCTGGCACCGTTAAAAACTCAGACTGCTTGCCAAAGTCATCTTGCTTAGTTGGGGAGACTGACTTAATGCTTTCCTCTCTGTCAAATGACATTGAGAAGCTTGAGCTATGAGACAGATTACTCTCTTGGCTGGGGCTCCTGGATAGGCTGGTGCAGGTTGATTCAAAGCTTGATTCCCCAGAGGAGTGCTCCAGTTCAGCCAGGCGCAGGCGTTTCTTTTTTGGAGGCAACTTTTCTGCAGGAAGCTGGGAAAGGGTTTCACTTCTCTGTGGCCACTGGAATTCTTCCACGTGTTTCTCTGGTTCCTTAACTGGTACTTCTGGCTCCTTTTCTGATTTGTCTGGCTCCTCTGTCACTCTGATTTCAGGCACTTGGATGTTAGGTTGACGTACCAGTTTGTGGGGCATGTGGTATTGCTGGGTTGGCGGCAATGCTGCTAATTCACTGTCGCTCTGTTGTTGCTCCATGCTTTCAGATCTTAGAATTGATTCTGGACTATGCATTTCTTCTGTATTTTCTGTGTCTGACAGCTCAGAATACTGACTGGAAGGTTTGTCTTGCTGGAAACAGGGGTGCTCAATTGATTCAGACTTCTCGAAGGAACTAGGCCTGCTCAACGAATTTGTGTGTTGGATGACAGAGATTACATTGCCACCAGCCTTTCGCTCTGCGTCCGGGATAAGCACCACATCTTCTGAAGACATACTAGCAGCAGTATCAAAACTATCCGATTGGCTATGTGAGCTGTACATCTGTCCTCTGCCTATAGGGGTGGCTCTTGAGATCTCTTGACTAGCTTGCCTTGAATCATAGTCCCCAAGTGACACAAGCGTTTCAACAGAGCCACTATGGTCACTTCCATACTGAACAGAGCAGTCTTCTTCCTCCCCAACACTCTTCTCCTTCCTTCGCTTCCTGGTGGCCGGTTCTGTCATTCCTATTTTAGTACCATATAACCCGTATGTCACGCGCATATCAGACAGATCTAACCCAGAGCCACGATCCCCGTGTTTCAATGCTCCATAAGGAAGAGCGGTATTTTTGGGGACAGTTCCATAGCTCTCAGATTCTGCATGCCCTTCATGCGCTGAATGCTCAAAAGCAGCCTGCCTCCTGAGCCTTCTGAGACCTGCTGAACCTGGGTAGAAGACATCATCAGAGGTAATCATCTCATCAAAGGAGTGGCTCACTCTAAGAGCTTGAGGTACATTGAGAGTTGTCGGGGAGGACGTTGGCATTGAGTTGCTCCTTATGAGTGGCCCTGAATCAGATGGTGCTTCCAGGTGGCCTGTGCTACTTGTGGTGTACTGTTTCGGCTCACAACCAGTAACAATCTGCGGGGCTGTACTTTCACCCCTGAAAAAAACATTGGGATTTAGCTTCATGGCGTTTTCATCCTTCAAGAAGAGATGACCGATATGATCCTCAGAAATCTTGCTCATGCCCAAGTCAAGCATGCCACCAGTTTTTTCATTTAAGTCAATTGTACTGGAGTCTTGGCCAGGGACAGCTGCCATTCCTACTGTCAGTGACTGCCGTGGTCTGGAGTTAGGCCTGTAATACCAAGTCCTCCCAAACATGATCTCCTCGTAGGACTTTACATTGGTGTTGGGTGGGCTGATCTGTTGCTCAGCACTCTCAGAGCGTGAGAAGTATCCGGAGTCCGTGCTACCTTTGCTGTGTGGGCTCAGCAGGTTTAAGGAAGGCTCAGAGTCCTTTTTCTCAGTAAGTTTTAGGACGAGCTTCTGCTTGTTGGTATGAGATTCATCCACTCGGTTTCCACTATGAGCACCGATGGGAGGGGCTTCCATGTCTGTGAACGGGGGACACTCCATGGCTGCGGATGGAATGCCCTGTTTTGGAACAATCAAGATAGGCACTTTCATGGAGCCAACAGCCTGCTCCTCAGCTGGGTCTCCGTAGGCCGGTTCATTGCCCTTATCTATTGTGCTTTTCTCAGCTTCGAATGATATTTGTGGGAGAGGGCTAGCCTTGTCCAAATACATTGAGCCTTCGCCGGTCTCCTCATCCGTGTCTGTACTTTGCTCACCATCCGAGTGCACCTCCGCCTCCCCCACTGAGGACGCTTGATCCATATCTGCGCGTGTAGCTGCCAGTTCTGAAAAGGGCACCAGCCCTGCTTTAATGGCATGGGCATGAGATTTTCTGTGTTTGTACAGGTTGCTTTTGGTTTTAAAGGAAAAACCACAGGGAACACATGGGTAGGGGCGTTCGCCAGTGTGCGACCGGATGTGCTTCTTCAGCACGCTGGGTTTAGCACAAGCCCTTCCACAATAATGACAGATGTACTTCCCAGGCTTCTTGGGCTTCTGTTCCTTTTTATGCGATTCCTCCGGCGGCTCGATCCCTGTCTGGGAATACTGGCTAAACGAGGCAGGTAAACTTGGAGACTTCCTGCGTGGGAAGACCCCGGCATGTCCACGTGAGTGAGCGGAGAAAAGGTCGTCTGAGGTGAGTGAGGTCAGGCGGTTGGCGAAGGGCCAGCCGTGAGCCTCTATGCCAGGCTGTGGCTTCGCCCCCGACAGGTACCTTTCTTGGATGGGCTGTTGTGGATACTGATGTGGCAATGGGTAGGCATATGTGTTAGCGAAAAGCGGAGGGTATGGACTGTCTTGTGACAACTGGCCAGCTGTTGAGGACAGGTGCTTCTGGGAGCTGTACTTTTGTGCCGAGCCGGTGATCCCACAGGCACCATCCCCACCACCAATGGGGGGACCTTCTCGGTGCGGATGCCTTTTTCCTTCCAGGTCAGGGAAAGTACTTCTTTTCGTGCCAGAGGTGGGATCTGAGACCCACTTCCTCTGTAGTGGAGTTTTCTCCCGGGACATCTTGGTACCCTTTGGACCAGCAGCAGATTCCAGCGGCTCCATATTTCCTGTTTTGTTTTCTATCCGTATCTTCAATGGTCGTGTCCGTTAAAACGTTATCGACATAGATAGATATCTGTGCCACACTTGTGGTTTCTAGATTCCATGTCCTTCCATGTTCACTTTACATGTGTGTTTTTCCACGTCTTACGTATTTCCAAAATGTCTGTCATAAGCATCAGATCATTTATAACTTGTGAAATGTTCTCAACATTCTCAGGTTGCAATCAGTTTAATTCCTTCCAATTTTCAATTGATTTGATATGAAGAATTTTGACCTGTCTGGAAGACAATACATAGAAGTATTTATTATCATAGCATTTTAAATAAACTAGAAAAACAAACAATGTGCTGAAAAAAAATAATGTCCACTGTTACCTGTACCTAACATAAATTAAATTTTATTTATTATTATTTTATAGTGATAGTCGTAATTTAAAAGAAGGTACACTCACTTCTCTCCTGGTTTTCTCAACTCTTTGCCTTTACATCACCTAGAGTAAACAAAAAAAAGGAATATTTTCAGCTTAACCAAATTATTGAGTGAAATAACATTCACAATGAGGAACAAATATGTAACTGAGTTAATTTTACGTGTGGAACAAATGCATAGCCTCATTAAAGGTTGGCTTCAGTGAATGAAATTCAGCTTAAGCGCGTGTGTTTCTTAATCTTTCTCAGAACACAGCTTTTGTGCGAATTGCTACTGAATGCCGTGAGTCATCATTAACCACCATTCCCACACAGTTCCTCAAAAGACATAAAAGATGTAAAAATAGCCTGTAAAGCGCGAGTGACGTAAGGTGCCATATGAACGTGGGCGAGATGAGCCCCCGAAAGGACAGGCAGTAAAGGGGTCACTGCCATTTTTCCTTTCCATGAGTCTCTCGTTTTAGTTCCTCTAAGAGCCCAGATGGGTGGGTCTTACAGCACATGCATTTACTACTTGCACTCTAGATATTTCACATATCTACACCTGCACACATGGGCACTTGCACTCTAGATATTTCACATATCTACACCTGCACACATGGGCACTTGCACTCTAGATATTTCACATATCTACACCTGCACGCATTGAATACCAGTTTCGAGGGGCCCAGATCTTTATAAGAGCCTCAAAATAGTTGGAAGTTTGGAAGCTTGGTTGGCCCCTGCCTGCATGTATGGCCACAATCTGGCCCCAACTCTTTTCAATTGTCAAATAAGGCAAAACACCCACCTCTCCAGCTCCTCCCAAAGAGCCTTGCGTCCGAACCCTAACCTCACATAATCCCTCCTAGACAGACATCCAATCACAGACAGACAATGTCACATTCTGGTGACATTTACAACAAGGTTACTGGGATCATCAACATTGTAACACCTGTCCCCTTTCTAAAGAACAGGACTCTGACACCTGTCTGTTTCGACCCCACTGCGGTTGAATAAGCTTCTCTGCTCTCTCAGAATGATGGAATTCTGTTTAATCCTGTTGTGTTTAATCCCACTTGTTTCTGGCAATCCGTTATATTTGACTACATTTGTGTTCAGCTCATATTTTTCATTTAATACATTGTTCTATTGTCCAAAGTCATTCTGTTTTATTTCTTAATTTTTCTGCATTTTGCTATATATATCACAGGTGAATTTTATGAACCGTTATTGATATTATTACTTCGGCACAGTTTGTTTATGCTACTCTGTTACTGAAGGAAACATTGACCCCAAAAGTAGCCCAAAAGAAAATCACTGGAATTCATAGCACTTCAAACACTTAATTTGTTTGTTTTTTGGTCATTAAGATAATCGACCATCCTTTACACTAAATGCACACAAAAGAGTAAAGCCTGGATGAAATTCTTCAACTAAAGGCTGTTATTAATTAGCTGATTAGGGCCTGATTACAGTACTGTAATTATAAGATATAGGTAACTATAAAATGAAATAATTCATATATAAATGCCTGCATATGAACCAAAACAGTTTTCACACTGTAGACACCTTTTCCATTTGTTAAGCCGATACATTAGATGATACTGTTCACAGCTTGTCCACCTTACAGCGATGGATTATGCAACCTTAATGATAAAACAGCATGGTGACTCCAAGTGACCACTACAGTTTAATTTTGTAATAAACATGGAAACACGCTTGGATGTAAGACACAATAGCACATGATGCGACATAGCCTGACCTTTAAACAATGAGGCAACACTGTCATTTTATGACAATTTCATTCATTTCGTCTAATGGGTCACAAGCTCTCCTAGAACCACATAACTGGGACATGAATACGCTCTGCTGTGCTTCTGTGCTGAAGAAAGAAATATATCCACACGGGCCGAACAAACAGACAAAAGACTGACGAATTCGGTTTCAATGTCGTTGAGAAGCAGCACAGAGTAGATTTTTAAGTACAAAGACACAGGATGCTGGTCTTCCCTTCGCATAGCACATGCCTGGTAGCAACCACAGCCCACCTACCTCTCACCAGCAGAAGCCAGGAAAGTGATTATGGTTTTGGGCTTCTAATGCCAGATTGTGATGGACATGATCTAGATTTGAGTTCTGAGGGGACCTTAAGGGTATACAACCAGGATTCATAACTCAAATATGTAAGTACACATACATACATCTTCCAGCAGTGTTTATCCAGTACATGGTCATGGTGAACCAAAAGCCTGTCCTGGGAAACAGAGGGGACAAAGCTGGGGACATACTGGACAGGAGGATAGTCTATGACAGTGCACCCAGTACGAAGCAGGGGACATACTGGACAGGAGGATAGTCTATCACAGGACACCCAGTACTAGTCAAATGTTTGCACACACCCTAATTAGCTTTGCTTTAAACCATATACACATCTATTCACATGATTATTAGTCTGTTTTATGGACTAATATGTCAAAATTTGAAAAATTTGGGTCCAACCAGCACATATTTTTAAGTAGCAGAGAGGATGAATGCATGAGTCAAGCACGGAGCAGGGAGCTTTTTGCTTTGCTGGTGACAGGGCTGGTGATCTTTAACAAACCCATAGCAATCTCAACCAGCGCAGCAATCATAGTACATTTCACCGGCATGCCATTCCATCAGGAATATGGCTGATTGAGCGTTTTTCAGCGAGATAACGACCCGAAACATGTCAAAATTGTACAAGAACTACTGTATCTAGAGAAGAAGGAAAGTGAAGGACAACTCAAACTAATGAACTGGCCTGCTCAATCTCCAACCCCCTAGTAAGTTTACGGGGCAAAGTGGACAGAAGAGTCAAAGCAAAGTAGCCCAAAAGCACCCGATATCTCTGGGAATTGCTGCAGAATAGCTGGGAAGACATGCTGGATGACTTCCTGCTGAAATTTAAATGAATGCCTCTTGTTCTTGATGCTCTGGTCAGGGGAAATGGTAGTTATTCTGAAGAATCAAAACTATGGAGACAATTTTCAATTTTTTTGAACACTGGTTTTGCTGTGTCAAATGTTGTGTGTGTGTGTATTTTCCATTTTCAAATATTTACAGAAAAAATATATGATGCAAACATTAAGGTAACCCTACTTTCCAGAAACTGACCTCTGGCCTACTTTGTAATGCAGGCTATCACTTCAAACACGCCTGAGTCTCAGGAATCTCCTGTCTCCCATGTCAGGAATCCCCCGACGGACCAGCGACACCTCATCCGCCGAGGCCTCGGGAACCCAACCAGGAGGAGCACTCCACGGGATCATGAAATATAAACCACCTCTGAAGCATCTACACACATCTGCGGACTTTGAATTATTTTAGAAATAAAATCGGGACAAGAAGGCAGCTCTGCGGAGAACAACCGTTCTCTAAAATCCAGGTGATGGTATTATTATTTTTTTTCTATTTTCTCCATCACTCAAACAGCCTTCTGAGGTCTAATTGAGTATAAGAGGCTTGGCCTACAATGTAAAGAACTGCCGCTCACAGGAAGAGCAGTGGTTAGCCTAACGAAAAGGAAGTAATCAAAGTGATGTCACTGCTACAGAGCACTCAGATGTGCTTAATGAACTCCGCTAAAAAAGGAGCTTGTTGTGTTAATTAACCTGTCTAGGATAATATGGATAGAAGGATCTGGGCAAGAGTGCTCCTTGAATCACTATTCATTACTGTATCAAAGCTGCCCAGACTGTTAACATTCTTCTGTTTATTTTTACGTACAAATTATCATCAGCATCATTAGCAAAAGAGGCCTTCTAATTAGCGTTAATGTTCGACACAATTCTACAAAATTGTAGCTTTAGCTTCTTTTTCTTGCTTTTTCTAACAAAAATTCTAACAAAATTTGGCCCTGAGAGTACAATGTATCATATATGTTTTTAAATTTTTTATTTATTTTTATAAACGAACAGTTATTATGTAACTTTTTGGGTAACGACTGTACTACTTGTTGCTAACGCAATACTGAGCATTACTGAGTCTGTTTTGTTTTTTTCTTGGTTTAATTAATGGAGTTCATCCATATTATGTAAGGCACTGTTTTGGATGCCATTTTCACGGGGAACGGAGAAGTTAAAGAATTGAACCGAATTGTGTGACAATGATATTTATATCTCCGGAACATAGCTGAAAATACTCCGCGGCACCCTTTCGACACCCACGGCGAGTCATACACGCGGAGGGACGTCACGTAGGAGGCGCACGGCAGACTGTGGAAGAACATTAATCCGAAAGGGAGAGGAAGGACATTCTATAGGATTCACAGGAACATCGATCCACATGACTCACCGCGGTTATGTAAGTGAACGGCCTATGAATATTCACACAGGAAAAGGGTTGTTTCCACCCGGCTAAGGTGCAGCGTCCCGATAAATATAAAATGTGACATGAATGCCGGCACGAGCGCAGGCTTCCCAGCTGATCTGATTTCCCTGACGAGCACATTGCTGTGGTACTTAAGCCATGTTGCTGACGAGAATGGCTGGTTGCCCCCCCCCCTTCCTCCAAGATCGTGGGACACCGGGGGGTGGGGTTAGTGAGACCCCCACGGCCCCATTGTGCTGCTGATGGGGCAGCCTCACGAGGCCCCCCCTCAACATAAAAATGCATTCTCCTCCTTAATTCAGGGATTAGACTCTTCACATTTTCGCGGTCGGAGGGGATTATGGCGGCTCTCGCTCACTCGTGAAAAGATGGCGCGCGCTGCATCTACCCTAAAAGGATTTAGCGTGACGTAATGCCAAGTCGTACCGCAACAAACACGCAGTGGGGATGTACGTTTGCGGGGCCGGCACGCGTCTCGACCTCTGTCCGAAGCGCAAGCAAATCCATTTCGTGTTCTGTCCTCTAATGCACCTGGCAAGGCTTCTCCGAGGGCAAATGAGGAATAATTTAAAGCACTGCTAATCATTTCCATTCAGTAATTACCAGGGTTTTGGCAACAACACTCATCTTGCAGCGAACTGGGCACCATAGTCCATAAAAACCCAATCTTCTGAGTACTTATCTAGCCCCCACACCATCACCACCACCAAGTGTTATACCGGACTAA